ATGGGGTACAATGTGCTGGGTTTATGTACAATTTGAAATACTTTCATCAAACTGGTTAACACAGCCTTCGCCTCATTTTCTTAGTTATTGTCTTAAGACGTTTATATTCTACACTACTTTTCTGTAAATCACATATGCATTCTTAATCACCTCCAACTCATACTGACAATATAAAGAAAACAGTCAATATTTCAGTAGTGGTGAATATTTAGAGATCAGTCCTTTGATTCCCATATTGTAAGGCTCCAACACGGCTATCTAAACTTTCTAGTAGTAAACGTTGTTTCTCCCTTGCTCTCTCTATTTATTCTTTGCTGTTTTGTTTTCTGAGTTTGAGTTCAGGAATTCTTTTCTTATGTCAGACATGTCCTTGTAATTCTTTGCCCTTCTTGTCCCTGGATGAGCTAAAATATTTTTCACAAGCCTAAGAAGTTTATGTTATCTGCTCCCAGGGAGGAAACTGGGTAGGGTAGTATAAGGACTATTTGGCAATTAGTAGAGATCTGAGTTTTAATACTTGCTGTAACATTAACAACCTATGTGATCTTGGGCTAGTCATTTATCCTTACTGAGTTTCAGTCTCCTCACATGGAAGATAGTGACCACAATAACAATAAATAAGTACTGAGTGTGTTGTGCATGTCAGACACTGTGCTAAGAACTTCATATAATTTATTTTATGTAATCCGTACCATGTGTCTATAAGAAGGGGGCCATGATTCCTATGCTATAGATGAGTAACCTGAGTCTCAGAGATGTTAAATAACTTGCCCAAGATTATATAGTTTATAGTTCAAGTCCATTAACTTTCTCACCTGTAAAGCACAGGAAATGTGCTACTTTATTTCTAATGTTCTTTAATCCTATGATCTATAATCTACAACTCTACTGCCCTTTTCATTCTGCTTGGGTTTTGTGCTTTTTTTTTTTTTTTTTTTTGCAGTTTTTGGCCAGGGCTCGGTCTGAACCCGCCACCTCCGGCACATGGGGCCGGTGCCCCACTCCCTTGAGCCACAGGCGCTGCCCCATTCTGCTTGGGTTTTAAAATGTCTACTGGAACATGTCTGAAAAAGCACACTTAATAGGTGCCACTTCAGCCAAGATTTTGTAATTCTAAAAATGTCTTAAGCTTGAGGCTTGTATCACATTAAATATATCTCTCACTTTCATATATTTGACAGCCTGGATTCAGAGCACGTAGCTGGTGCCCAATAATTATTTGTTGAATGAACAAATTAGTAAAAATCTATTTGAGCAAACATGCAATTGCGATATGGCCTTTCCTTTCTGTGAACAAAACACTTTTTTTCCTACCTAATTCTACACTTTTCTTTTAGAATAAGCTATCAGACGTTCCTGACTTTAGGGGCCAGTGTGTGATTTGCCCTTCTGAACTCATTGGAGTTCAAAAGAATAGATCACCTTGACTTGACACAAATTTCAGTTGCAATAGGCCCCAAGCAAGTACTTAAATATAGTTACAAAATATGATTTTAAAATGCCTTTACTTGGTTTATTCCACATATTTACGCCACACGCACAATTCCTTGGTATGCAAGGGAGTGACAGTATCTGTCAAATGAGAAAATAATAGTACCGATCTCGTGGGACTGTGGAGAATCAAATGGCAAAATTTATTTAGGCATTTAGCCCTGTGTCACATCAGAGTTGACGACTGACATAGTAACTGCTGTTAATATTATTTTTTGTCGTTGTTGCTGTTATTATTGGTTTCAAATAGGGGATGACTGATTCACTGAACCGTTGGTTGGCTCCTCCCCATACCACAGCCAAAGAGTCCTTGCTAGTATCTGCTGTTATTTTCAATAAACAAACAAACAAAAAACCCCAACAGAGCCTGAGATAACTAATTGGATCGCTATTTTAGAGGTTCCAAACCCCTTTTCACCTTAGGAAAGTGGTTTGCCTTTTTTGTTTAAACTTGGAACACCTTTATTAAATGAAGCTGTATACAGAAACCCTTGATATATTAAACAAAGAGAATGGGAGTCCCTCTAATTAAAGCTAGGGAGGCAGGCCCCAAATACCTGCCCAGGTGGCCTTCCCTTTATTCACCACCCCTGTCCCTCCAACCCCCAAGCCCATTTCCACTGTGGTAGGGGACTAAAATTATGATTGACTCGGTGTACAAGGGGGATTAGTATTTAACATTTCCAGAGCTTTACCTTTTAAATCCTTGGGGATTTTTATGGTCCCTCACCCCCTCATCATTTTATTGCTTCAAAAGCTAGAGTCCTAACCCTGGGATCTTAATATCCTGGGTTTTATGGCACTCAGTGGTATCAAATTGCCACAAATTCCTAATCCAAGCAGGGTTAAAGACTCTGAAACTCTAGAGCATCAGTTTTTAACTAAAAAATGAGCTTTTCTGATCACTCTTGTTCCCTCACTTTATTACACATATGCAATAGATGGAGCCATTTCTCCCCCCGCCTTGTACCCTGTCTTAAAATAGTGATATATGGCTCGGCGCCTGTGGCTCAAGCAGCTAAGGCGCCAGCCACATACACCTAAGGTGGCGGGTTCGAATCCAGCCTGGGCCCACCAAACA